TCATTTAAACAAATTAAAAATTAGACATGATGTTTACAAAGGGCCATAAGCCTCCTTATATTTGTTCATGATTTAAGATAAACATAACACAAAAATAATAATCATTATTTATATAGTTAATTTCATAGAAAAAAATACAATACAGTGTGTTGCACAAAGCAAGAAGCAAAATGTGTACAAGAAGAAGAAACCTTAAAGTAAACAAAATAAAATGAGACAATACAGATTGAATAAAATTAGTTGCAAATGAAATAACAGCTAACATTGTTAATGAGACACTTCACCTGCAGCTTGGCCAGATCTAATGTTCACCTCCTGTCTTAATGACTTACATTCAAGTAGTTTACTTACATACACTTAATGTGTCGTGGGTGTGGACACTGAATTATAAAGCCTCTGTCTTTTCGCAGATCCACATATTGTTATTTTCACATTCCAGATCATTCCAGCTGTTCTCTGTATTGTAAAACCGGATTTCTCCACAATCTTCGTTTCTTTGTTGATAATTGTTGGGTTCATCAGTGCCCCAGTAGCTGAAAACCCAGAAACAAAGGACAAGCGTTTTAGAAAAAAAACACCCTGAGAAGCTCTGAATCAACAATAACATGACTTAAACATTAACATAACTTAAAATCAGTTCAAAATGTTGTGACTTTTTAACACTGATAGACAGTTATTAAAGAGTGGTTTTAAAAACGTGTGAACCTTGTGGTCAGTGGAGTCCCATCCACCCATTTCCATGTGCCCTCTTTCTCTTGGTCACTCAGTCCAATCCAGATGTGCTTTTGGAAGCGTCTTGTGAATTCCTAGTTTTCACAGAGAGAAACAAACTGTCATCAACATAAATGAAAACACAGTAAGTTCAGTGGCTGAAATCCTCCGCCATGGTTGCCTCACTTTTTAAAACAATTCACCCTCTCTCGCTATTCCTTATTCACAAATCCTCTCTCTCACTCACACACGCACACACACACACACACACAGATGCTGATCTCCACCATGTAAATCACTGAATTTTAAGGTGATAACATGGTTTAAATTTAGGGTAAAGGTTAAGTGTTAGGCAAGTGTTAGGCACGCACTCACACACGCACACACACGCACACACACACACACACACACACACACACACACACACACACACGCACACCTGTTCTTCTTTGTTGCTGATAATCACCAGGTCTGCACCTCTCTGCAGACAGTCTTTTCTGCTGTCCTGCCAGGATTTCTCCCATGAAGAGATGTAATAGAAACTACCATTAAAGTATATCCATCCTTGGTGGGAATATTCAGCTGTTGAGAGATAATATCATATCAAACAATGTGCTGCTGTATTGTTATCAATGTGATACAGGACACATATGATTTACAAATCACTATTTTCAATTTTAATTTTACAGACTGTCTCAACTTTTTCGGATTTGGGGTTGTATTATTACAACTGTTTTAGTATTTCCAATCATTATCTGTTTTTACACCACCACCTACTTATGGGTGTACATAGGAAGAGTTATCGTTATTGACAAATTGGCAACAATAACTATAATAAACCACTTATTATTATATAGTTCTTATATATGCTAAATAGTAAAGTGTTGCTGTACTGTGCATATCATCTCTGCTGTATAACCAAACTGCCTACCTGGTTCAGTTGACTTTTTTTTTATCAGTGTTACTTTATAAACACAGATAAGGAAATATACTCCTATGCTTTATCTGTTTTTGCAGTAACTGCACTGGTGTACAGGATGTTGTTGCTAGATGTGGTTCACCTAATGTTGATTTTATCACAGCAAGAGATGAAGAGCCATCACTTCCCTCACTGTCACTGGAACATACAGTAGTACATACACTTCTTATTCAGGTGATTTAAGAAAAACAACACTGTACATGTCTTATTCAATGAAAGAAGTTAGACTAATTCAAACAATTTTAAATTAGCATTGTAAACCTTGAATAGCCAGACAGAATTTATTTGTTCTCATTTTTGTGTCAATGTGTGATCTCAGCGCGAGTTGAGCATTGTGCCTGTGTAAGCATTTCTGAGAAAATCACCAAGTGTTCTGCACATCTAGTCTACATACCCGAAAAAGCAAACATACTAGCACTTATGCTATTAGTTAGCTACATAATGTTTTTGCTGATGATGAATGCAAAAAAGTAATAGATGGGTAATAGAATGCAGCTTGATAAGGCTCATTGCATCAAAAACATGCTGCTGTGAGACTCCATTCGACTGATAGAATGACTAGTGGCATAGTGTGATTAGTAAGGCAAATTCATGTACCAGGGAAAAACTATACTGGCTCTGTCACAAAAGACTCCTACTTGATCCACAATAATGTCAGTATCAACCCTGACAACAATCTATACAATAAGCACATCAGAGAAATGCAGGCAACAGCCTATTACATTTAGAGATTTAATTTCATCCTTCCACTTACCAAAGATAGTCAGCTTCTTCTTCAGCTCATCTCTTTCTTTAGTCATGTTTTTTAAAGTAGCCTCAGTATCTGGTGTTTCAGCTTCTGAACTATCTGGTGGAGCAGAAAGACGTAGGACATTTTATTATTGTAATTTAACACAAGAGGGTTGTAACAGTCAACAGGAGAGAACAAAAATTCATTTAAAAATGGTTTTCTTTTCACTGTGTTGGAATTCTTTAATTGTTTGAGTTTATCTCATTTTTAAAAGTGTACGTACCAGTAGACTGATTTGTATTAACAATCATCTGCTCAAATTAATAACTAGCATTATTTTTTATGATGAGGATACAATTTACACAACTCTGTAGAAATAATAATAGCTAATGTTGTTGCATTATTCATTTAATTAACACTATGGAAGTTTGAGTAGTACCTGTCAGATTTTTTAAAACAAGGATTTTTATTTTTTGAGTGGAAGAAAGGAGAAAGAAGAAAGAGATCAACTCAGGTATAGTTATGTTTTTATATATATTGTGCTTTGATGCCCCGTAACATTGTTGGTTGACACCTTCATGCCAATAAATCCTCTTTGGATTTAAATTTGATAAACCCAAGTTCCAGAGAGAAACATGGAGAAAGTAAAAAAGGTGTGAATCATTCAAGATTTAAAGAAAAAGATGAAGGGAGACTACAGAGAAACTGTTTTAGAACCAGCTCAGGATTTAGGTTATAAAAAGACCGACTACAAATTCTGAGAAGACAAAACATTAAGATCTAAGTCACAGTTTTTAACACATACCTTTAATGTAACCAAATTGAAAACACAAGACCATCTGTGAAATGACATATCTGTGACTACAAGGACTACAACCACCATATTGTTATTTCATGCTGTTTAAGGTGATAATGCTAGGTAAAACAACAAAATGGACAGATTGTTTCAGTTCTGATCAGGTGTGAAATACAAAATAATAATTTCCATTTATAATTCAAATATTTTACTTATTTGTGAAGTGTAAACAAATATATTCAACATCAGACAGTTTTGTTACTCTGTTATATTCCTGAGCCTGAGCATGTTTCCATCATCACAGCCTTTGTATACCCATAATAGAGTATCTGAGGTAAATTACTGTATTTATCCTTTATTTTGCCACAACAGCCCTAATGAAACATAACAGAATTACAATAATGTTTTGCTTTATCACTTAAACAACAGACCCACATTTAGAGAGCAAACGATTGTCATAAATTGTAATTAATCAAATCTTTAACCATTTTCACAGAAGCTGGAGTTAACACTGTGTGGAATTAAAATAAACCTGAACTCACAGACCACAAGACGCAGTGAAATGTTGAGACCAGCCTGGAGGATGCACAGGAGTCCAAGGCTCACAGCAACCACTTTGTACAGTTTCCCCTCTGTGTGCAAAAACCCATCAAAAACATCATTCATAATATTGTTAAGCAGCCACACCTAAAGCTGTGTTATATGGAATAAGACTCTGTCCAACAGTGTTTTCATTTCACTGGATTTATGGTGATATTGTTACCAAATTAAATTTCTTTATAAATTTTTGTTTGATTTATTTATTTTTGGTATTTTAAAACAAGTATAAAAAGTGAGTTAACCAATAGTAAAGATAAAAACAAGCAAATAAGCAAACTTTAAATGAAACATAACACAGTTATACTGACTAAAAAGGAGTAGGCTGAAGCTGTAGCCCATTATGCCTACCCTACTTATTCTGTTTCTTTAT